ACTTCATGAGGTTAGCACTGGCCCACCTCTCTGGAGGTCAGGCACCCAACAGGGGAGTGCTGTGGCACCTGCATTTCTATCTCCAGACATACAGTCAAAGAGTTGTTCACCTGAAAGCTTCTCAGGACCTTGAGCCAGAGAAGTGGACCAAGAGTCCTCTGCTAGAAGAAGTTGTTGATGCTTTTTCCCTCTGCAGATCTCACATCCTGCCTCTCACCACCAGCCCATCCTTCACCTGAACATTAAACACTCACAACAAAGACCTTACCACCGTCACCGCGTCATTCAGGAGCGATTCACCAAAGACCAAAATGTGGAGCTTTTCGTTGACGTGTATCTCTTCAAAGACTGCTAACACGGCCACGGGATCCACGGCGGCGATCAGACTGCCAAACAGGAGGTTGTGGAGCAACGACACGTCCTGCAGGTGAAAAGCTTTCACCTGGCAGATCCCATAGAGGGAAAAGCCGATCCCAAACACGTTCCATATCGTCCCCACCACCGCGTAGAGGAGGATAGTGCCGATGTTCTCAAAAAAGGGGCGGCTGGGCATGAAGTACCCCGCGTCAAGGACGATGGGTGGCAGCAGGTAAAGGAAAAAGATGTCACTGTCCATAACAGGTGGTGACTTGTCGTTTAAACCGTAGATGATTCCTCCCATGATGAGTCCTACGAATATCAATAAACAGCTTTCGGGAACGACAGAAGGTAGCTTGTTATAGAGATGAAACCCTGGAAAGAGATGGATAGATAAAAAAAATGGATGAAGACAGGCTGGGAGAGTTGGGGTTGTTCAGCCTGGAGAAGAGAAGGCTCTGGGGAGATCTTATAGCGGCCTCCCAGTACCTGAAGGGGCTACAAGAAAGCTGGGGAGGGACTTTTCATAAGGGCAGTTAATGACAAAACAAGGGGAAATGGGTTTAAGCTGAAAGAGGGGAGGTTTAGATGAGATATTAGGAAGAAGTTCTTCACTGTGAGGGTGGTCAGACACTGGAACAGGTTGCCCAGAGAAGCTGTGGCTGCTCCTCCCTGGAAGTGTTTGTGGCCAGGTTGGATGAGGCTTTGAGCAACCTGGTCTAGTGGAAGGTGTCCCTGCTGCTGGCAGGGGGGTTGGAACTGGATGATATTTAAGGTCCCTTCCAACCCAAACCATTCTATGATTCTATGATCTCACCAGTCCAAACCAGTTAAAGAGCACCAAGCAACTCCTCGTTGGGGTGAGGGAGCTCCCTGTGCTCCCACCTTCAGCAGGCTGAGCTTTGGAGTAGGAGTAATAAGCGCACATGATTAAGGTGGAGTCATTCATTCAGGAATCAGCTAGAAAATCTGAAAGGTTACCAAAAAATATCAAACTTTTTCAACTGGCTCTTGGTTCATCCTGCATTTCACCAGAGCAGAAGGTTAAAGGTGTATTTTTAAGTAATATACAAAAAGAAAAAATAAATAATCTGCATAAATTAAAAAAAAATGGGATTATTTATGATGTAATCTAGTTAGCTGGCCATCTTCAGCACTAACTGAAGCAACTGCTGATTTTGAACACGATACAGATTCTATACATCAAAAAAAAAAAAATTACAAAAAGCTTCTTTATTAATTATAAATAGCGTGGCTTTTAATATTATTTAATCATATCTTACCTATTTTGGCCAAGGATGCAAGCATGATCCAGAGCGTGATTTCAAAGGGGACTTGAACATGCTGATAATCCAGAGAGAAAAATGTGTGTTCAGAGGATTCGTTGCCCTGGGCTCCCTCAGCAGCCCAGCTGATGTTCTCCAGGATCATGTCCTCCAGCAGCGACATCGGTAGGAAGCCTTGCAGGTCTCTGACCCTGGTGGCTTGGAGGATGGAGGAGAGCAAGGACCCGGCTAGGACAGCAGCTGCAGGTCTGTACCCTGGCCCCTGTCCCTCTGTTCACCCTGGAAGTCATCTGCCACGAGGACCTGGCCGCTGGCTGCTCCCACCCTCGCCGCTGCTCGCCCTCGTTGTGTGGGTTGCTGCAAAGAGAAGAGCACACCCCGCCTCACGCTGACTCTCCACCCTGATCCATTAGTTTCCAGCTGGGAGATGCTGCTGGAGAATCAGCCCCTTTGGCACCACGTGCCCAAACAGGCAGAGGCTCCTCCTGCAGACACATCCCCAAAGAAATGCCTTGTGCACCCTTAGACCAACCACACATCTATGGATGCTTCAGAAAGAGACAAGTTGTATTTTAGACCTAACTCTTGACATATTTTTGGCTTCCAGTCTTTCAGAAACCCTTCTTGAAGTGGAAAAAAAAATTAAAATCAAATAAAACCTTCAGTGCTGCTCAAGCAGCCAGGCTTTGATGGAACAGGTTCTACCTAAAACACCCCATCCAGAAATGGACCCATCTCACAGTGGACTTCACTGGGTTTCTCCAGTGTCCACAGAGAGAACACATGGCAGCAACATTACTGATCATCACAGTTCCTCTTTGGGATATTGAGCAAAGCACCCAGGTTGCTCATGCTCAAGACAGACTTGCTGGACAGGGGTCACTGGTACAGGAGGAGTAAGTTTCAACAACTGCTTAAAGCTTCTTTCTAGAATAAGAAGGGCTAACAGGAGAAGTTCTCTTCATCTCTCTTCACTACTTGAAAACAGCATCAAAAACTGAATGAACCTGCTCAGAAAAGTTGGAGAGACAGAAAAATAAAGTTATTTGCAACAAAGTTAGAAGTATTAATAATATAGAGGAAAAAAAACCCCTTATATTAGGTCAAATTCCTCCACTGTGGACCTTCATCTAAGTTGATGATGTTTCAACGGGGATTAATTTGATCCAAAGAATACATGTAATTAAAACACGGAGGCCCTGGGCTGTTGCTAGACTGATCAATGAACTATTTCTCTTCAGCTGCTTAAATGACGCCCAAATTGAGCTGCCAACAACGAGCTGGTGACCCACTTTTCTGCTGTAAATCCAGACCCCAAAATCGTGCGGACACAGATCCTGGGTTTCTCAGAACCACATGAGCTCCCTGTTTCTGATCCAATTTGTAAAGCAGGAGAAGGATGAACTTTGGGAGACAAGAAAGATGAAGTGATAGAGTCCAGGAGTGAATTCTTTCTGCTTTACCATGGTTAAGTTGAATTTATAGTGTCCCTTCACCACGCTTGCTGACTTTAAAGTAAAGCAGCTCATTAGAGCTGTCTTCTGGCAAACTAAGCTTCTGAAATTTGGTGCCACTTCTCCCTTTGGGTATTTAAAGAGTAAACAAACCTGCAGGACAGATGCTTGGAGGACAGAAATCCCATGAGGTTTTCCTCCATCTTTATTCTGTAGTTCAATTCCAGAGGGTCTGGAATGGGGAGAAGAAGAGACAAGGAGATGTGATCCCTTGTTACCCTGAAGGAAGGAGAACAGAACGCTCTTCACAGCAGTTAAGAAGTAATTAAGAAATTACTCAGCCAGAGCTAAGAGCGGTGGAAGTGGTTCTGAGCCTGGGCTCACATGCCAAACCCTCATATTTCCTCTTCCTGCT